ATCTTGCCAATTTTAATATGGTATGTAATTTTCTTTTGAAGCCTGAATCCAGACAAAACAACTCGCTGTCTTTTCATCCAAATGGAATTCTGTGAAAAAGGGACCTTGGAAAAGTGGATTGGAGAGAATAGAGAAGACCAAAACTATCATGAAATGGCACAAAACAAATTTTTACAAATAATGAAAGGAGTGGAATATATTCATTCTGAAAAGTTAATTCATCGAGACCTCAAGGTAAGTAGGATAGGTAATTAAAAAAACAAACAAACCTGAAAAAAGAAGATACTACTTATTGGAATTTTAAATGTTAAATGTTAAATTGTTATAGTCTTTGTTCACTCTGTTATGTACCCTAGCAGTGTGCCTCTTCAGATATCGCTAGTGATTAATTCTTTTTCAGCAACTGGCTGAACCTCAGCCAAATCAAAAGGTAAACTGGAGGATCTTGGAATGCAATAGTTCAAAAAATCAGTAGTCCTCAGTTAACAGGCTCTTTCAGTGTGTTACTGGGTCACAAGACTGCCTATGGGAAAAAGAAAAGTTGAGTCTAGGAAGTTTGCTCTTGCCATTTTGAAAGGGACAGGTTTATCTGTGCTGTGCTCGATAACAACATACTCTAGTTGCTTTTGTCCATGTATGCATATAAATATTTAAATGCTACAGTTCTGGATAGAATTTCATTCTCTACGTGTGCATCCTCATAAGATGATTTTATTCCAATATAAAGATTATAATGGACAAAGCCTTCAGGGCTTTAATATGGCATATCCCAGAATCAAAGCTGCAGGATAGGTTCAAGCTGATATTTGTGCCTGGTAGGACATAATTTGTGCCTGGTAGGAACAGAGCCTTTAAACAGTGTAGCCAGGTATAGGTACTGTATTAAATATGTGTGGGCATGGTTGGACTTGAACAGAACAACTGCACTGGGCATTCTTCACACAAAGATTTCTTCCTGTTGAATATTAAGTATCTCCTGGCCTTACGGTCCACTGGAGCCTCTTTGAGTAAAAGATAGCATGAGGCTATTTGGTTTTGTTTTAAAAACATTCCAAAGTGTAGTTTCTTGATCTTCTTTGGGAAACTTTGTTGAAACATATACAGTTCTATTTTTAGTTGTTTATCACTTTGTGTTCTGGTTTAGGCTGGGATGGAGTTAATATTTTTTCAGTAGGTGGTACAGTGCTGTGTTCTGGAATCAGGATGAGAATAATGTTGATAACCTAGCCAGAACAAGTGACCCAAACTGCCCAACAGGATATTCCACACCATAGAATGTCATGCCAAGTATATAAACTGGGGGAGGTGGAAGAAGGGCCGATCTGGGTTTGTGGAAAGGGTCTGGCATCAGTCAACAGATAGTGAGCAATTGCATTGTGCATCACTTGTTTTTCCTTGTTTTATTTTGGCTTTGTATCCTATTACTATCATTATTATTATTCACTATTATTACTATTATATTTTACTTTTGTTTCCATAATTAAACTGTTCTTAACACAGTCTAAAAGCTTTACTTTTGATTCTCTCCCTCATTCCACTGTGGGCATGGGGAGTGAGTGAGCAGCTGCGTGGTGCTTAGTTGCCAACTGGGTGTAAGCCATGACGCTTTGTCAAATTTAAAAAAGGGAAGTTCAATGGAAATGTAAAAGTGATACTCCGAGACACCTGTAGTAAGCCTTAACTCTGCAGTTGACTTAGTACAGATGATCCTGCTGTGCCTAGGAGAAACCCTGATTTGAGCGGAATTCCACTAGTGAGCCTAAACACTTTTCCAAGTGTATCAAATCCCAGGGCTAGGACTGAAGACTGAAAAGCACTTCTGGATATAAAATGTTATATGCATGATGTGTTTGAAGAGCATTAAATGATACTTATGACTGAGCTAGTAGAAAAAAGGGTGCAGGTACTCCAGAATATACTACTTGAAATTTAGTATGTGGTTTTGAAACTTAATTTAACTTTTTTCTGTTTCCCACCCCATCAGTTTCTTAATGCTGTTTTCTGTGAACAGTTATCAAATTTTATGGGGAACACTTCTGTGGCTGATTATGCTTGATGATAAACCTTGCTCATATGGTGTTGTTTGTTTTTTTTTAATATTAATATATATAGCCTCCGAATATATTCATATCACATGATGATAAAATAAAAATAGGTGACTTTGGTCTTGTGACTCCTGTGGCATATGAGACTCTGACTAAGAACATAGGAACAAAATCATATATGGCACCAGAACAGGTAATTATCCTGCTATATTAGTGTCTCTGTAATTAGATTTGAACTATAAAGTCAGCACTGGATGTTCTAAATCCTAATCTCAGTATTAAAGCAAGTTGCCTAAAGTTCCGTGGTATGACTGTATATGAGGATAACTGTATTCTGGAGAAAGCTGTCTGCCAGTGTGGTAGTGGTTTTTTCTCTGGGCTAACCTACAGTCTGACACTGCATGCTGTAAGGAATGCTTTTGCAGAACCAGGCTGCCAGGCATACGTACTTAAATTTTAATTTAGGACCTCTGTTAACTGTGGCATTTGAGTCCTTCTACTTGTTTGATTATTTGTCACAGGGCAATATTGGCATGCTTTATCTATATAGGTTTGTAGAAGTAAATTTCTGTGTGTTTAAGGCGATACAATAGTCACTACTTAGGTCTGTGCAGAAAGTGTTAATGACTTATAAGGATATTGAGTAGGGCCAGTCCTGTAGCATTGGGGTGGAAATTTCTGCTGACTTCAAATTTTGCTTTAGGAAGTGCTGCTGTACAGTTGGATTTGATGCTTTTATTGTTCTGGTTCTTATCTTTCTAGTTCGGGGACAGATATGGAAAGGAAGTAGATATTTATGCACTGGGACTAATTTGGTTTGAAATTCTTTCAGCACTTACTAATCATGAGAAAAATGAGGTATGTAATCTTTAAATTTAAAAAAGAACTCTGATATTGTTTTGCCTTGCTGCTGATCACATGTTGATTGCACACTAGAAGGAATCTGTGTATCTAGAGTCTCCATTTACATTTCCCCCCTTAATTCATTTCCATAAGGTCTGTAAGTCCTCACACCTTAGCTGAAATGTCATAACTGAAGAAATATTACAGTTTATTTCTCCTGTGTCCTATTACCTATACATTAAAGCCTGAGCATGCTAAAGATTATTGTCAAGCTAAAAAAATATATTGTTTCTTATAAATCTTTCTGTTTGATCAGAAACTTGAAGCGGATGTTTTCTAATTTTAGAAAATAAAAATTATGAATGGGTGAGTTTTGTCTCTGCCATGCTTGTCTTCACTGCACAGTGGAGTAAGAACAAGGTTTCCACCAAGGCAAAACACTTGCAGTTTTTCAAAATGAAAATGAAAGTGATTTGGAATAAGTAGCTTTAAGTGAAAAAGATGTTACTTCAAAAAGAAACTCGGTGTTACTTAAGCTTTTTTTTAAAAGGTATCTTTTACGCATCTTGAGTTTTCTATTGCTACTTTGTACATTATTATTGTTACAGCTCATATGCACAAACCTAAATGTTTGTAGGACAGTGTTGTAGCTGCTGGGTGTCTTGTCTAAAGTAACAGTGGCCAGAACAAGAAGGCTTTGAACACTGTTAGCCGGATCCTTTTACCAGTATGAGAAAATCATACCAGCGTGTCTTTTCAAGCTGGTTCTATTCAGCCACCTTGCAGTACCTCTTAAGATACTTTGTTCCTGCTCACAGCTGACTGCAAATGCATGCACAGTCCCATGGTATTTCGAGTTGGAAAGGCATTATTTATTATTTCCCTAAGTATCAAAATCTTGAGCACTGTAGGCAGGTATGCGGATGGAAAGTCTAGGATGGTCTTCAGCTGCTCCGTTACCTTAGAAAGGAATTTCACTTAATGGAGCATGATAAACTTTCAGCTGGCAAGTCCTGCTGAAAGAACATCATGTTGATGATTATTTTGTGTTAAGTAACTGGTTCAGCTGATGATCCCCAGCGGGTAGGGTCACAGGCTTAAAGCTACTGCTGAAGAGTAGGGAAAAAGCCTGGAAGTTCATGGGAGCTGTTGTTTTACTATATACTGGTTGTAAGGGCTTGGTACATCAGGGTCATAGGATCCATAAGTCTAGCTAATGATTCAGGATGCATAGCTAAGTGTAAGAACAAAACTGTCATCTTCAGGCAGACATTACACTAGTTAACAACAAATGAATTGAGCAGACTGCTCTTTTTACCCAGGAAGCTACATCATGGCAGAATCACAAAATGGGTAAGGTTGGAAGGGACCATTACAGTTCACCTAGTCCAACCTATCTGCTCAAGCAGGGTCTCCTCCTAGAGCATGTTATTCGGGCTTATGTTCATAATATCTCCAGTGAGGGAGACTCCAGAACCGCTCTGAGTAATCTGTATTGGTGCTTGGTCATCTGCACAGTAAAGAAATTCTTTCCTCATGTTCATGTGGAATTTCCTGTGCATCAGTTTCTGCCTGCTGCCTCTTGTCCTATTGCTCAGCACCACCGAGAAGAAACCGGTTCCATTCTCTTGACACCCTCCCTTTAGATACTTATAGACAGGTCAGCACTCAGCCTGTACCAGTGTCTGGGGTTATTCCTCCCAGGCACAGAACCCTGAATTTGCCTTTGTTGAATTTTAGAAGGTTCTTCCTTGCCCATCTCTCCAACATGTCAAGGTCCTTCTGAAGGGCTGCACAGCCCTCGAGGGTATTGGCCACTCCCTCCAGCTTTGTGTCATCAGTGACCTTGCCGAGGAGACATCTGCCCCTCCATCCCACTCACTGACGAACAAGTTAAACGATACTGGACCCAGTATCCACTTTCGGGGGACTAGTCCCTGTAGTCCCCCAACTAGACCCTCTGCCACTGTGCACTATACTGTGGAATCTGCTGTTTAGCCAGTTGTCAATCCACCTCACCATCCACTCGTCCCGCCTGCAATTCCCGAGCTGGCCTCTGAAGATGTTGTGAGAGACAGTGTCGTAAAGGAAAAAAAAAAAGTTACCCAAACCTGGTTTCTAAAGCATGTAATTAGAAATCCTCTATATGTTAGCTGCTTTGAACTCCACATAGCATTTTTGGCAGTGACATACTTCAGTTCAGTGTGTGGTACTGAACATGGAAGCACACCTGCTTGGCTTGCAAACAGTAACATCCAAAGTAGGAAATTCAGTTGTCTTGCTTTTTTCTTTTCTTTCAATGTGGTTAGATGATATAAATCCACTACTTTTAAATTAGGGAAAGAAGGATAATGGTTCTGAAATAGAGAGGACTGCTGAAACAAACACATCATTGTAGAGTGCAAAGCTTTTAAGCTTAGAAAGGAACAATAGTTGATGAAAAGTCCATAAAACCAAAACAGTGTACAACTAAATGGAAGAAACTTTCAAACTGTTTACAGTTACGTTTTGAAGACTTACTTTCTTGCAGATTTGTGGTTTCCTAATTACTTCAGTAAACTATATGGGTCATAAGGTAGACATGTAAAATATAATCAAAGAAAGCATACTAAAACTGTTCTCTTTTATGAATTTCAGGTATGGCCTTCTGTTAGAGAAGGTCATTTTCCAAAGAGTTTCACCAACCAATTTCCACCAAAGGTATGGGATTTTAATAAATTATTTTGATTACTTTATTTACTAAAAAAAAAAAAATCTATTGACATTTAAATTTTTTTGCAGGCATCCATAATCAAAAAGATGCTTTCAACAGACCCTTCCAAGAGACCCTCTGCAACTCGAATACTTGATCTTGTTAAGTCTGTTGATAAAGAGAAGTCACTTAAAAATTATACTTGTTAAATGCCCTTTTAAAAGGCTTTCAGACTGTGTTTAAATCCAGCGTTTCATGGATTTATTGAAACTGACAAAATAACAATAGATGTAAGAAGCAACAGCAAGACTTGGGGTATGTCTTTTCCTTGGTGCTTTGCCTTCCTGCCATTGTCGAGTCTGTCAGCTCGAAGGCCACATCACCATTCATGTCCACTGGCTGCAGACCAGGACTGGATACTTCTGCAAGAAATCACTTGCAATTTTTACCTGAAAATACAGGTTGTGGATGAGCTGAACTGTATTCTACAAATAAGTAAAAGAACCTAGTCCTTTTCTGTTAGAAGATTATGTTGATGGGCTTAAGTGCTAACTGGCCTGTGGCAAATCCCTGGATGTGGTGCTGCATCCATTATTCTTTGAGGTTATTTGTTACTTTCCGTGGAAGAAGTGCTGTCTTCTGGTATGTGACTCAAACCTGTCTGATTTTTCAGTGATACTTTTAATAATTACTGGAATGCTCCCATTAAAATTAAGACTAGTTTAGGTAGAAAAGATACTAGGAATAGGCATGGGTTATTCTTCACTGAATTTCAGTACTGTAAGGTGAGCTTTCTTATCTGTTTACATCTGTTGATGACCTAGCACCTTCAGTGCTCTAAAATTTAATAAGATATACTTTTAAAGTAAGCATTTATTAAGAATTTAAATGTTAAATGTTCAGCTTCTAGGAAATCTACTTGAGAAATTCTAAACTTCTGAAAAACTTGGGTTTTGATGGTTTGGTTTGTTTTTATTTTTTTGAAAGGAACACTTAAGGTGCTATTAATATAGCAAAATTCTCCAGAGTTTCCTCAGTAGTAATCATTTGAAGTCCTATGCTGAGAGAGCACTTTTAACATTCCTTCCTACGCTGCTAGGTTTTAATCCCTATTATAATACTGAGGAATGCCTAACCCTTAATTCAGTGTACTGAATACCTCTGGTGGTGCCACTGTCAGCCCCACAAAAGTTAACAGCAGTTTTTCTGTTACTCTTCAGTTATATACTTCAAAGAGTTCAGAGTTGCCTGAACTCAAAGTATTGTGTGTGCAGTGGTGGAGAGCAGAGTGAAAAGACAGGTATGTTAGTCCTTCCAACTGCTTGCCTTGGAGCTGTATCTTGTCAAACTATTCAGTGCTGTAGAGCCAACATAACTCTATAAGGGCAAATGAAGAGAGATTTCTAATCAGAAAAATAGGTGAAGTACTGTATGCCTTTCCTGAAATGTTAAATGGGTTCAAAGTGGGTGATTGCTTAAAAGGAATAATGTAAATGAATGCATGCTAATTTTTATAATCTTGTGCAAATTATTGCTGTTCTACTGTGAATATTTGTTGCTAAATAAGAATCTGAATGTACATACTTTTGTAAGGCCTTAAGCAGTTCTGGGTTTTTTTCTCATTATCATGAATCATACATATAGAATCATAAAATGCTTTGGGTTGGAAGGGACCTTAAAGATCATCCAGTTCCAACCCCGCTGCCCTGGGCAGGCACACCTTTCACTAGACCAGACTGCCTTGAACACTGCCAGGGATGAGGCATCCACAGCTTCTCTGAGCTACTTACTCCAGTGCCTCACCACCCTCACAGTAAAGAATTTCTTCCTAATATCTAACCTAAACCTGCGCACTTCCAGTTTGAAGCCATTCCCTTCCTCATCCTACACGACGTGCCCTTGTAAAAGTCCTTCTCCAGTTCTCTTGTAGGTTCCCCTGGATGGCTGCTGTAAGGTCTTCCCAGAGCCTTCCCATGGGCTAATTAGTATTTCTTTGCAGTGGTCAAGATCTGTGAGAAATTACATCCTCACCTACATATACTACTAGTTACTACCCACTTTCTCTTCTCTTTTACCCACTGAGATATAATTGCCATATATGATTTTACTAGATCTTAAAGGTCTTTTCCAAACTAAACAATTCTATGATTCTATAAAGCTATTCATAATATGAGGGTGCATATGTGACAATCTTTTGTCTGAATATCCTTTACAGTTTTTGGACAGAGCACCAATTATCTTCTTCCTGTTACGTAATATCGAGCTTGTCCCAGTAGTTTTGATACATTTTTCCTCAACAGTATTTGTATACTTCAGCAGTACCTTTTTATTAATGGCTACTTACAGTAGCAACTGCTGTTTCCTAAAAATAAAAGTTCTACTAAAATGTATTTTTATATTAAGAAAATGAAAACACAACATCATGATCTAGTTTTCTTTAGTTATGTAAAATATGCACCTTCACGTACAACAGAATATTGGTTCAAATAACATCACTGTAATATTTCACAAACTTCTTTTTTTCCCACCAAGTTTAAGATAGTAAGCAAAAAGAATCTGATATTTAGTCATATCCATAAAGATGAAAAACCCTGTTTAACACATTATACAACAAGGGGATTTGCCAGTATTTGTTCCCTTACTCAGACTTGAATTTTATTATTGGCTGATCTTGTTCAGTTGGGCGGGGCATAAAAAAAAAGATGTGGAAGGCTTAACCTACCTCTCAATTATGGTAGTTTAATTATAAATACAAAGTTTTAATTCCTATTAAACTGTGCATCAAACAGAAAATGTGAGTTTAACCTGTCAACCTAACTCTTCTTCTGTGTACTTTGGTGTGAATTCTTGAGTATAACACAGCTCCAAACCTTCTAAAAGATATTATGGATTATACATACTTATTTAGGACTCCTTCCTTTAGAAAGGTTTTAGTCATGATCTGCAGCACTGTCTCCGGGACAGTTTGAAGATAAGTCTTCAGAGTCTAAAGGATAAGCAGAGAGAAAGTGAGTAATTCCAGCTCAGAGGAGAAAAAATGATTGCTAGAAATATTTGTAGAATCCATGTAAAACAGATTAAATAGAATTCAAGGTTTACAAGATATTAACTCCCAAATTTGTTTTAAAACAAGGAAAAAAATTCCATCCTCTTTGGTGCAGTGGAAATGTATAGTTTTCTAATTGTTTCAGAAACATAGTATTAAATATCTGAATTTTGTTTTCTCAAAACTAAATTAATACAAATAGAAATTCAAATAAATTTCAATATGGTTGGCTGTGTTTTGGTGTGTACTTTTTTTTTTTTTCTTGTTTCATTTTTTGTAGTTTTTTTTTTTTTGTTTGGTTGGTTTGGTTGTGGGGTTTTTTTGTGCATGTAAACCTAAAAATTGCCTTACAATCAAAATGTACAAAGCTTTATGCAAAACCAGTAGCCTGCAAGATAAATTTGCTATGTAAATTTAAAATACTGCCGTAAGAGAAACACAAGGGATATTATCTACTATTTGAGTTGCATAAGCAAAGCAAAACACAAAAGACTGGCTTACTCTCACCTTCATAGGTTGTTCCACACCAAATGCAATAAAAGTGTTCTTTTCTCAAGTAGGCTGTCAGGATGTGTAGCTTTTCTGATACCTACAGATATATACAGGAATGCAATGATCTGGGGCTCACATGACATACATCAGTTTAAGCTACTGGTTTGCTAAAATAAATTTTTAACCTTTTGCTATTGAAAAGCTACACAACACCATAGCTCAGTAAGACATGAAGTTTTCCAAATCAGTAGAATAGGGCACAGGAATTCATCATCTCTGGAAAATTAATTGTTGTTTGCTGTTGTTTGCTCATCCTTCTTTCCAGCTAAGTAATCTGCACTAAAGAGAGCTACCTAAAAACATTACTTAGCTACCCGATTTCAAGTATACAGTATCTTTTGTGGTTTTTTTCACACCTAATCTCTGACTGTGTAACCTAGTTCTCAAAAATTGTAAATTTCCTGTATCCAAGTTGAGATGATCTGCAAAGCATTTTCAGAAATTACTTGGTGATTCCAAAATTCAATCTCAGACATCAGATGAGGCATCCAAAATTAAAACTCAAAAGCAAGTAACTATGACCTTGCATAGATCAGCCTCAAAACAGATAAGCAATAAATCAGTGGTTTAATGTTTTATATTTTATCATGTAACTGCTATAAGAATCACTGCTTTGAGATTGCAAAGAGGCCCTTCACTACAGCTTGGAAAATGACATGTATACATATATCGTTTATATATATATGTATACATACATACTGTTTAAGGGACTATTAAATTTAATTCTGAATCAAGCCATTAATTTAGTTGCAGAGCTTACACTTAAGTCTGAGCTTGTGCATTCATCTTCCTTGTCTTCCTCATCCTTTTTCTCTTCCTCTTCAGGTTCTATCCAAAACCAAGTCTCTTTGGGAACTTCAATGTCCTTAAATAATGAGGGATTTAAATTGATGTTATCTGCCTTTGTAGGTTTCCTTGTAAGGTGCCAAATAACACCTCACCTTCTAGAAACTGGTTTTAAGTTTTAAAACTTGCATGTATAGTATAACCAAGGATTACTAAAGCTGTAGTGAGAAACTAAGTACAGTAATCCACAAGGAGGATTATTCAATTTTTTTTTAAATGATGAAATGCATGCTAACAACTAGTTCTATTCCATCTGTGTTTGGTATGTGTGAGGCTACATTGCAACATTATCTCCCACCAAGGCTGTGAGCAGACACCCATGTTTATCAGTTAAAGACATGCTGCCCCAAGTTATTTTGTCAAGAGATCACATGGTGCTTCCTAATCCACTTCAGGTAATGTTAAAGGAAGAAGAGTCAACAAAGATTATCTAAGCTTAATTCAGCTGACTTCATCTGAAGCAAACTAAGTAGTATCAAACAATCTCAGCAGAACTTGTGAGGTGGTATTAACCTCTAAAAGGTTAATAGAGCAAAAGAAACCTTGAAGTTTTCAAGTAGCAAAAATTTATAGTAGTTCACTCCTATTACCTGCGTTATTCCTTGCAGGTGGAAGGTACTTAAGTTTTGTGAGGTTTTTTGTTGTTGGTTGCTTGGTTGGATTTTTTGTTTAAGTGCTGCTTTGGTGAATCTGCTAATTCCTTCAATGATGATTCCCATCCTTAGAGACACTAAAGAGCTGCCTGGACATGGTTCTGGACAACCTGCTTTAGGTGACCCTGCTTGATAAGGAGGGTTGGACAAGATTACCTCCAGAGTCCCTTCCCACCATCAACCTTTGTGTGATGGTGTTGCTTCCTCAGTTGAGGCAAACAGTGCCATCATTTAGGATGGCCTGATACTGGATACTGAAAGATATGCAAACAGCTCAGAAGTTACCACAAGAATACAGGAGCAAAAACATGGGTCCTCACATAAGTTACCATTAAGTTGGTGTGCACCTTCAACTATCTTAATGGTGCAAATATACACTTCTTATTTTTTTAAAAGGACTGAAGTGTTGCCAAACATTAAGACTTCAGGCTAGTTACCCCACAATTTTAGACAACTTCCAAGAATTTAATCACTACTTTGTAGCCTGTATCTCTAACCTATAACCCTTCCTTCTAACTCCCCCAAAAACCCCACAGGTCTCACTTTTTGCATATCTAATTGCTGGCAGGCCCTCTGGCTTTTTCGCAGGTCCCCTTCCATCTTACGTTCTTCTTGTTTGTTTTTGAATCTTATTCTGTTAAGAGAAAGCAGAGAGGTAAATAAGCAGGCAGACACACAGTAAGACATGCATTACAGTCCACAGCTGTAAAATAGAAAAAGTAAGATTCTATTCCTACTGATTCTCTCAGACCATGACGACGTATGAGTTAAGAAGACGTTCTGATGTTATTTCTGTGGGAGCACACCTTTATTTCTTCAGAATTATAACTTCAAGATGGTGCTTTTGTGATCGTACTACACTGAACACTGTTTCTTCATCAGGTTTTCATAAGACATAAGTGTTTCACTAAACATCTGCAAATTATACAGCCTTCTCTAGGCTTTCCTTTTCCACATACTACATGCAAATCAGGAGAAAACAAAAACAGTACAACCTTAACAAATTTACCCCGATTTTTAAAACCGTTGTAGCAACATTGCTCAAGATTTTAAATGTAAAATCCAGATAAAGACGGCATGATTCCCCAATTTAAAAAGTTGTGAATGACTTGAGAAAGGTTAGTATGTCTATTATTTGCGTTATTAACAAAAAACTAAATGATGCAGCACATGCTTTTAGCATTGCAGTGTTCATCAACTTTTTGTTTAGAACTGAGAAACAATTACACTGTATTGTAACTCTCACCCTTCATTGAAAACATTCAAAAATAGTAACAATAAAAGAATAAGTAAACTTAGAGCATAAAGAGAATCGTTTTTTAGACATTGCTTGGAATTCAGTTACATGACTTTACCTGAACTGATCTGCAGCTTGTTCATTTGCTTGTTTTTTCATATGGAGTTTTTGTCTATAGTTTTCCAGTTTTTCTTCAGCTTTTCGCTTTTTTAATTCCTCATGACCAAGACCACTTCTGCCTATGTTAGTTCAAAAGATGGATGTAACCAGCTGAGAAGCTCCGATACCCAACTAAGTAAATCAGAAAGCATCACAAACCTGTTTTTATGTTCAGAGGAATAGGTTCAACAATGCCTTCTCCTGTGAGAGAAAAAACAAGTCCATTAAAGAAATTAAGTTTTTCTCAAAGTACGATTTGTGCAGTGTATTCAAGTAGGCAAGTTGCTTTTGCCATGAAATATGTAGATTTTCTTGTGATTTTTTTTGGCTGGAAGTTGAAAAATCACAAATTGATATACATTTAGTGCACTACAAATGACGCAGTTGAACTGGAACTCCCTCTCTTTTTTGGCTTGTCTGCTGGGTTCCTAAATGTTTTCTTCAGGACGTGACCCAACTGAAAGAAAATGGTGTTGATGTGACAGGTATAACATGTCTGTGATGAAGACTGCTTTGTTACACCTTCTGTAGCATTTTCAGTCTAGAATTTCACAACTTGACAATGATGAAGAATAAAAACAATGTCTGGGCCAGTTCGTTTGCAATTGTCTGCTAGAGACCCGGCACAGCAAGTTACTGATGCCTTGTTTTACTGATTTTACTTCATCTATTTAGGCTTCATAAGGGTAGGCCAGTGTGCACAATTTCTTCTGAAGACTCCAACTATAAGTTCCAAGAGAGGGGTTGACATTTTTTGGAACACTATTAGCTTTGCAAAACCATCAAAACATCCTTCAAGCAATTTCTGTAGGCATGCACATATGGAAGTGCATTTATCGAGCTCCAAATACTGCTCTTCCCTCACATCTCTCAATAGCCTGTACTGTTTTTACTTTGCGTTTAGGGTTTCACTCTCGTACTTTGCTCCGTCACAAGACATTCACAGTTCAGTAACGCTAGGGCTCTCTGAGAGGCACTTATTGACCGCGTCTGCAAAGAAAGGTACGGACAGTTGCAGTCCGTAAATGTAAAGGTACAGCTGAATATAGGCACACACTTCAGAGAGCAACAAGCTTACCGCTTTTGCCAAGGGCCTGGCCGCTCCTGTAGCCCATCTTCTGGAGCAAAGCAAAGCCTTTGTTCTCGTTGCCCAACGCGCTTTTCAACACCAAGTCTCGCCTCTCTTTTTCTTCTTCTTTTATACTCTTTTGCCTGTTCTTCTCATTGGCTTCCTTTTGCTTTTCTTCTTTCTGAATAGCTTCCTTTACACGCCTTACCATGGGCAAGCCTGGCCTTACATCCTGTCTGGGAGTTAATAATTCCAGCAAATATTAGAGCTTTTCTTAAAACCATAACCCTAAAATCACTTAAAAGCGGGGAAAAAAAGAGCCAGCTACTTACTTAATAAACGAATCAGACATGTAGTCTTCCTCTTCATCTCCCTCCATGTCGGCACGCCCGCCCTGTGCCGGCCCCTTGCCTGTGGACACCGTCAGTACGCCTTACCGGGCATTTTATTTCCCCACAAGGCAGAGCCCACTCTCGCACGGAGAGGCGCCCACCGCCGCCCCCCGGCCCTGCGGGACAGGAGGGCTGATGCACGAACACAAGTGAACCCGCCGGGCCGCCCCCTCCCAACGCCAGCGCACCCGCGCCCGCCTTCACGCCCTCAGCGCGTTTTCCCGCGCTCCGCTACCGCCGCTCCTGCCCAGGACCCTCCGCCCGCCGCCGGGGCGCCCACAGAGCCGCGGCCGAGGGGCAGCGGAGCCTGCGGCCGCCGAAGGGAACCGAGCACCCGCCCGGCACCACCGCGGCGCCTGCGCGGGGCCGGCCCCGCCCGCCGGCGCCTGCGCTTCTCACGCTTCCTGCTGCGGGGCCGCGGATGCTCCGGGGGTGCGTCGGGGCCGGGACCGGGTTTGGGACGTGTCTCCCCCTTCCCCGCCCTACCCCGCCCGCCGGACCCGGGCTCTGCGGGGGCTGAAGCGGCCGAGCCCGCAGGGGATGGTCCCGCGGCTGGGGGCGCGCGCGGCGCATCGCGCCCACGCGTGCCCGTGACGGTGACCGTGCCCGTGAGCGGCCCCGGGGCCGCGGTGTCGCGGTGTCGCGCCTGGCATAGCCCGACGCCGGCGGGACGCGGCCACCGCACGGGGCGAGCGTAAGTGACCGTGAGCGGCGGTGGGGCCCGGTCCGGCCCGGCCCGGGGGCTGCGGGGAGCGGGCCGGAGGGTCGTCTGCGCTTCGCTCCGCGGCGTTGGCGGCATGAGGGGGGTCGGCGAACGTGTGCGGGGGATGCGTGTATGGAGGGCAGCGCGCATCGCTCCCTTAGTATCATTCTCATAGCATCATTGCCTCTAGCGTCATTGCCTTGAGCATCGTTCCCTTACAGCCAGGGCTGTACCGCGGCTTTACCTCCTGTGGGGTTTTTAGAACCAGGCAAGATGCCCTGGGAGAGGTGCTACAGCTTATTAAAGTAGCCGATACAGGTAGGGGGACCCAGCGCGAAAGCCTTTTCCCCCCATGCAGCCCTTTGGGAGGGTGTCACTTTGCCTAAACTTGCCTGGTTTTTAGCTTTCTCCGTCCACTGAAGTGCTTGCATGATGAAGATATGAATAGTTGATTTAGGCTACAGAAAACCAGTTGTGGAATAGAAAGGAATTTTAGTGCATCTGAATGTTTTCTAACCTCTGTAATGCTTCAACATACTTTGCTGGGCGCTGGTTGACTTTTATCAGCTTTCACTGTGCATCCTGTGGGAGATCACAGTGTATTTATTTCTTGTAACAGGCACAGCAAGACCCAACCCTCACCAGAATCGGTAGGACTTGGTGGGCATTTTTCACTGCATGTTGGAGCAAACCGTTTTCCAGTGTGAGTTTTGAATTGCTTACATGTGTATGTTAGACTCTGAATCTTCAGCTGAATATTTGTGTAATTGTTTTTGTGCCTGATCTCTTGTGCTTCAGTGGCACAGTTGAATGTATGTGCAGGTTTGGTTGCTTGGAGCTTGTGTTACTTAAATTAAGATGGAAAGGTACGGGAGTGTGTGGAAGGTTGTGGCCAGGGGTAAATGAAACCTTTTATGTGGGGAGGAAAAGGAGTCATGAGCTGTGCTGTCATGCAGCACTCCTGTGCTGTGTGGGTGTGACAAGCAGTGTAGATCTCTGGGGTGGTATCCAAAGAATCGTAATGCTGTCATTCATTGTGTTTCTCTCTGCTGTCATGAAAAGGTATTCTGAGGTGATGTGTCTGTGTATTATTGACAGGCAATACCTCCTCAATTCTTTATAAATGAGAAAAAAAAATCCAGAAGATATCTTTGGAGGTGTCAGGGCAGGCTTCCATATGTGGTTCTTCTACATTTGCTGAGCTGTTGCTGGAGATAAATGTAGTGAAAAATATTATGCAAAGTACTGAAATGCAGAGAATAACCTTAGTATTACAGACATTGTGATGCTTTAGTTTCATCAGCACCAAATCACTGAGGCGAATTCAGAACCATAATACAGTTGTAGTATTAACATGTTACCCATACCAATGTCTGTTTAAAAAAATAATAATTTAAATCACCTCATTTGACTTTAAGAATTTTTTGGGTTTGACCATGAATGAGGAAGCAGCTTTGAGCTCTTGAGAGCACAAGTGGAACTGTGCAGCTGTCAAAAGATGATGTCTGTTGAACGCTGATGTCTTACATAATACTCCTTAGTTGTTTTGCTTTCTCTGTTTTGACTGAGATCCTAGTTTCAGCATCACTGTGTTCAGATTTTGGGCGCTTTTTTTTTTATTTTTGGGGTTCTTTTTTCTGAAGATGGCTGGCTTAATTTTGTGATTTTAGATAAGTTTTGTTTGGTTGTTTTTTTTTCTGTCAGCTCTTCATTAAACAGCTGCACTTTGTTTAAAGGTGGTTTGCTAAGGTTAAGTTGTCCACAGAGTGTTTGCTTACATTGACAGTGTGCTTTTGGTCATGCTTTGGAGCTACCCACCATTCAGTGTTTGAGCAGGATCTCTGGTGTTTGATTTGCAGTATTTTGCCTGCTGGGGAGTCTTGCAGTCATTTGGCTGCTGCTTGTATTCCAGGCTGTCACACCTAAGGCTTGCTAGGTTTCAGAGGGCTTATTTGTACAGCACTTAAAGCAAGGCTAGTGGGATCTGGGGAGTCTTAGGTCTGTGATGCCTAATATCACTGTTCACGCCTTTCTCAAATTTGTGATAGGTGGAAATTCCTACTTGTGGTAGGCTCATCTTCACACCTTGTCTGTTGAAGGGTGTTGAGGAGGTGGCTGGGTTCATGCCCAAACTTTGAGATTGTGCTCAAGGGTCTTGATTTGGGACAATCCTCATTCTCTTTTATGTAAGAGGAGACAGTGAGATGACTCCTTTACCTCTTTTGTACTTTTTTTCTTTAAATGGGGACTTAAGTATATTTTTCTTGGCTGAGAGTTTGGACCTTAAAATTGCCCATAGGTGCTTTTTTTTTATAACTAACAACTCTGTTCCCTGAAATACTAATGGATGCACTCAGTTTCTAAATATGTGTGTAGGTTTTATCTGGGACTGCTTAGCTAAGACAAGTCTAAGCAAGCTGGAAACTTTAATTTGGTTTTCAAAGGTTTGTACTAATGTACTATACATTATACTAATATTTACATTTTTATTTTAGAGTTTCTACACAAATTTACATAACACTGGAATTTAACCTGTCATGGAGCTGGCTCACAGTTTGTTACTGAACGAGGAAGCATTAGCTCAAATCACAGAAGCAAAGAGACCAGTCTTTATCTTTGAGTGGTTAAGATTTTTGGATAAAGTGCTAGTAGCTGCCAACAAGGTAATTTTATGTTTTTTCCCCGCTTCTTTGTAAAGCATTTCTATTAATTTCATGCCAGAGACAGTTGACAGGTAATGGCCAGATGACAACTGTATGGTTTCAGATTCAGCCTGAAGAGCCTTTGTATTAGTTTGTAGCTCTTAAGTGTTTAATTGTAGGCAGTCAGTAGGCAAGTAGTAAGTATTTTGAAAAAGTAAAATTCAAATAGGATAACAGCTAGTTCTGAGCATTTAGCATCTGTCTCTGCTATTATTGAATGTATCTCGAATCTCTGTGAAACAAGCAATTTGCTAAATTATATGCAATTGGGAGTGGTATAAGGTTTAATTCAATCTCTTGTAGGTTTTTTTGGGTGTTGGTGGCAAGACACAGGATTAAATGACTTTTTTATTTATTTTTGATCTCTTTAACAGACAGATGTCAAGGAAAAACAGAAGAAACTTGTAGAACAGCTAACAGGACTCATCAGCAGTTCCCCTGGGCCACCTACGCGAAAGCTGCTTGCAAAAAATCTCGCTGCTCTCTACAGCATCGGAGACACATTTACTGTTTTTCAGACACTTGACAAGTGTAATGACATCATCAAGAGCAAAGATGATACTGCAGCCTACCTGCCCACAAAACTGTATGTTTAATATTACTAGGGAAAGGGGAATGATTTTTAAGTGGTCCTGGATATTACAGAACAATCTGCCTAGATATGTGCATGCTATGTTTATTTATATTTTGTGTGCTTATTTGGGGTTCACAGATGCTTGATATAGCAAGAAAAGCACTGGATTGAGATTGTGCAGGGGAGGACTCAAAGGTTACACATACATGGCTGTCTGAAATGTCTTTCTCTAGGCAAGGCACTATTTTATGTTTCTTCACATGCTTATGGCATGGAGAGGATAACAGTTAATGCAGTAATGCAATGAAGACTTTCCATCAGTGGAATTATTGCTGATTGCACTCAGGTACCCCATTTAAGATGGAACCTGCAGGTTGTCAAACCAAAGCATTATCTATGCCCATAGATTGTAATCACATGTTCAAGCTTTTTTCCCTATCAAATCTTGCCTTTTATATTCCTCCACTGTGATATGCCACACAGGTCTCTCAAGCAGAGTCTCTATACTTGGATATGTGTGTGCACGTGTGCATGATACAGTTTGTCTTTACTCATAGGAGCAGTCTCAATGGTAGGAATTTGGTTAATGCCACAAAAAACTTCCACTGAAACTGGTTTTGGTACTTTCCTGCACATACTGCTTCATATGTTCACAGTATCTAGTGAACCCTAATTTGGTCTTGTCTTCAGACATTATCACAACAAAAAAGGATTTAACAATAAAGTCTGAAATAGTCACTGTTTGGGTAGGTACTGTCTTCTTGTTTGTAGCTTGTGCAGCTCTGTGAGGAACTTGTATAAGTGGGAAGGGTTTTGTACTGTATATATGCTCTGAAACTTAAGCTATCCAAGTGATAGTCCAGCAGTTTTTTTAATGGAGATATGCCCCTTAAGGAGGAGTCTGTAATGAGTTTGTAATATAGCTTTGCTAAAAAATCATTTAGCCAAGAACTACAGATTTAAAAAAAGCCTCTTTTGTGATGAAAAAGTGCATGTTTTCAGGAGCTGCTTCTGTGATTGTCCTGGAACAATTTGTGTACATAACTGCAATATGGTGTTAATTAAATATCCCTAATCTTAAATGGCAGGGCAAGGAAAACATGTAAATAACTGTTTATGGATTGAGTGATTTTACAGTACCTATAACTTTTCTTATGTTATGCAATAATTTATTCATTTTAAGTTCTTAGTCTTGAAAAAACCCATAATTCAGTATCTACAGAAA